TATCAGTGACAGTATAACTCTGATTCGAGATGTTTTGGAAGTCTCTAGTTCATTGGCTGTAGATACTGGTCTGATTTCAATAGACCAGGAAAAGGCTTTTGATCGGGTTGAACACCAGTATCTGTGGCGGACTCTGACGGTCTTTGGTTTCAACCCACGTTTCATAGCCAAGATCCAGGTTCTGTACTGTGACATTGCGAGTGTTCTGAAGATAAATGGAGGCCTGAGCGCTCCCTTTAGTGTACAGAGGGGGGTGAGGCAGGGCTGCTCTCTGTCTGGCATGTTATATTCTCTGGCCATTGAACCTCTGCTTCACAGACTAAGGTCTGCTCTCTCTGGTGTCTGTTTTCTTCTTTTCAAACTGTCTGTATGTGCAGATGATATCATCGTTCTGGTGAATAAGCAGAGAGATATTGATGTGTTGGGAGAAACCTTAAATCTGTATGGCCTGATATCATCTGCTAAAGTGAACTGGGTGAAGAGTGAGGCTGTGATGGTGGGAGAGAGGCTGAAGAGTCGCTCAGTCTGCCTGGAGGCCTCTTCTGGAAAACAGGAGGGCTGAAATATTTAGGGGTGTTTCTGGGAAATGAAGCATCTTTGAAGAAAAACTGGGATGGAGTTTTGGAGAAGGTCAAAGGTCGCCTGAACAAGTGGAAATGGTTGCTGCCTAAAATGTCTTTTAAAGGTCGGGTTTTGGTTGCAAATAATTTGGTTTCTTCGGCTCTGTGGCACCGTTTGGCCTGCGTTGACCCTCCACCCTCTCTCCTGCCAAACATACAAAGAATATTAGTGGATTTTTTCTGGGACAAGTTACACTGGATTCCTCAGAGCATGCTTTTCCTTACAAAAGAGGAAGGAGGGCAGGGCCTGGTCCACTTGGCCAGCAGGGGGGCTACTCTCCGCTTGCAGTTTGTCCAGAGACTCCTCACTGGGCCTGCAGACCTGGTGTGGAGGCCACTGTCCTACTGTATTCTGCAGCAGTTTGGTGGACTGGGACTGAGCTTGTCTCTGTTTTTAATGAACTTAAAAGGTGTGTGCATGTCCTCTCTGCCTGGGTTTTACCAAAGTGTTTTTAAAGTATGGATGTTGATGAACAAACAGAGACAGGGACACACTGACTCCTTGTATTGGCTGCTTAAGGAGCCTGTTCTGTTTGGAGGACGTCTGGACTGTCTTGGGGGGTTTTCACCCACTCTGTTTGACAAGCTCCGCACTGCCAGGATCTCCACGCTGGGGCAGGTGGAGGAGCTGACCGGACCTCGGTCGGACCGTCCTGCTGGTCTGGCGGTTCGTCCGGGGCTGAGGTCGAGCCGCTATGTCAGTCTGTTATTGAGACACTGGAGACATCAGCTGACGGGACACGAGGTCTCTCTCCTGATGGACTATAGAGACGGCTCTCTGCTGCCGGACGACACTGACCCATATCCTTCTACCACTCTGTCTCCTGACTTGACCGATGTTTCGGGACCTTTACTGGTCAACTCTGCTGGGGTGTCTCTGAGTGATGCCACAGGAAAGACACTGTACAGACTGTTGGTAAAAACGCTCAACAAAAAGACACTTAATGGACGTAGCGACACCCCCTGGAGGACTCATTTGGGTTTAAGCCCTGATTTTCAACCTGCCTGGAGGTCTCTGTATAAACCCCCCCTGACAAAGAGACATGCAGACCTACAGTGGAGAATCCTTCATGGAAAACTGGCTGTAAACTCTTTTGTGTCTGTGCTGAATGGGAATGTACAGGACCAGTGTCCTTTCTGTCTGCAGAGGGAGACCGTGTTTCACTTTTTTTTAGAGTGCACACGTCTCATGTCTCTGTTTTGCTGGAAAACATCTTTAGGGGTTTTAAAGAGTTTTTTACTAAACAGGTTTTTATTTGTGGTTTTAAATACACTCAACATCAGAAGAACAAATGTCAGCTGCTAAACTTTGTCCTGGGTCAGGCTAAGATGGCCGTGTACGTGAGCAGGAGAAAAAAGGTGGAGACAGATCAAGCCGTCAATGTGAAGATGTTGTTTGTGAAAATGATGAAGTCCAGGTTGTTGTTAGATTTCAGTTTTTACAGAGCAAATCAGGACTTAGAAACTTTTTTGTCAGTGTGGGCTCATGGCAGGGTGCTGTGTTCTGTCCAGGCTGATCAGCTGGTGTATGCTGATGTGTTGACGATATAAATGTATCGTGTGTGAGCGAATAGCGACTAATAAAAGTGTGTTTTGAAAAATCAAAAAAAATCTCTGTGTCTCTCTCTGTGTCTCTCTCTCTCTGTGTCTCTCTCTGTCTCTCTCTCTCTGTGTCTCTCTCTCTCTGTCTCTCTCTCTCTCTGTCTCTGTCTCTCTCTGTCTCTCTCTCTCTGTCTCTCTCTCTCTGTGTCTCTCTCTCTCTCTGTGTCTCTCTCTCTCTCTCTCTCTCTCTCTCTCTCTCTCTCTCTCTCTCTCTCTCTCTCTCTCTCTCTCTCTCTCTCTCTCTCTCTCTCTCTCTCTCTCTCTCTCTCTCTCTCTCTCTCTCTCACTTTTCAACACAAAGTGAATCCCTTGCTGCTGTCAGTCATTTAAACGTTTCCATGCTCGCAGTGATGTCACAGTTAATATCGTGGGACATTTCTGCAGCAAAACAAATAAATGGAGTTAAAAACTTGACAGGTCAGACAGAGGAAACTCTGCAGAGGAAACTTTCAACTTTTAGTGTCTGAAATGTTTGGACTCTCTGATGGAGCTCAGGACTGATCAGGAGGACGGCTGCTTTACTCCAAACAGTGTCAGCAAGCTAACACGCTATTTAAGAACAGTCCGTGTTGATGCAGTCTGCAAGTAGAAGGATCCGTCAGAACCAATCATCAGCCGGCAATCTGACAGCTGACTTAACGTTTCATCCACAGACTTAGAAATAATAACACAAACAGACGTAACGCTCTTCCTGATTATCAGCTTCTATTCCACATCATGTTTTTAAAGAAATGATAATAAAATAGATAAATACAATGAATAAATAAATAATCTCTATTTCAACTATCAGACAATAACAAATATTTCCATTTTCTAAACTTCTACATTCTAAACCTTCTTCAGCTCTGAACAGATTATTAAACACTGAATGATTTCAAGCAGGAACATTGTCTTCTAACGTTACACCGTTTATTCTTTATTCAGATTGAGTTGGTGCAGTTTGTCAGAGATCAGTTGTGCTTCTCTGGCCTCAGCTCTGAAGTCCAACCCCTCCCATCTGAGAGAGCTGGAGCTGAGTGAAAACAAACTGCAGGATTCAGGAGTGAAGCTGCTGTGTGGTTTTCTGGAGAGTCCACACTGCAGACTGGAGACTCTGAGGTCAGACACCATTTTTTCCTTCTGTGCTGAGATTAATATGATTGACATTTAAAATCTTAATATAACAAGAAACATCTCCACTGGATAATTCACTCTGAACCTCTTTGTTACGTCCCGGCTCGATGGGTAAAGAAAGCAACATAAAGTGGATGTTTTAGTGAAAAGGTGTTTAATTGGAAAGTGAGAGTTTAACACAAATGTAGAACCACAGTAAAGGACCTTCTGGGTTCTGCTTAAACCATAAAAACAAGAGAACAAAAAGAGGTCTCCACTAAGAGAGACAGTTACCAAGCTCCACAAAATAAAGTGAAACAAAAGAAGATCTCTCTTCAGCTCCAAATGGTTTTAAAAGGCAAAACACAAAGAGAGCAGCAGCCATAACCCTAGAGAGGCTAACAGGGGAATACTAAGACAACACAAAGGGGTCAGGAGTGAAACTAAACCTTGTCCCAGTCCCACAGCTAGAATTAATAAAGAACAAACACTCCAGATCAGGGGTCGGCTAATAAGTCTGGCATCGGACCACATTTCTTTCAAGCTGTTAGATGGCGGGCCAGAAATGATTGTCCTTCAGAACTTTTCAAATGGCAGTCTGGAGAACCGGGACAAATCCCGGAGGTTGGTAGAAGGTTGAGCGTCACGGGCCGACCCCCGTTCTCCCCGGGCCTGTTGGTCTATTCCAGATGAACGTCTGTCCCTTCCACTGACTGGAAAACGAGCTACAACAGAAAATGGAAAAGCAGAGTTTCACTGAAATGCAAGTAAATGTAAAAAAGTAACGACTGGCTCTGTAGTAGTACCAGCACCAGGGCCACAGACGCTGAGACCGGGCCACAGATAGTGCAGCTGAACAGTACAGGGTTCCCATACATGGATTTATTTGTGGCGGCCGCCTCAGTATCAACGCTGACCGCCACATGTTGATTTTACATTTTTACTAGGCCTGTTGAAAATGGTATTTCTGCAGAGCTCTCTCTCTCTCTCTCTCTCTCTCTCTCTCTCTCTCTCTCTCTCTCCTCTCTCTCCTCTCTCTCCCTCTCTCCTCCTCTCTCTCCTCTCTCTCCCTCTCTCTCTCTCTCTCTCCTCTCTCCTCTCTCTCCCTCTCTCTCTCTCTCTCTCCTCTCTCTCTCTCTCTCTCTCTCTCTCTCTCTCTCTCTCTCTCTCTCTCCTCTCTCTCTCTCTCTCTCTCTCTCTCTCTCTCTCTCTCTCTCTCTCTCTCTCTGAGTGGATGAGTGAGTGTTTTTCTAAACTTTTTCTGTGTTTCATGTCGGTTTAATGTGTTACTGTGTGTATTTCTAAGGTTAGTTGTTGTTGTCAGGTGTGTGTTTGTTTGTTGTCGGGCAGCATGGAGTTCTCCAGGCTGACGAGGAAACACGGACTTAAGATCTGTCCGGGTTTCCGCTGCTCCGTAGAGGAGTGTGCGTTAGCGGTGGCGGAGGTTGTCGGGGCCGGCAGTGTCAGATCTGCGGCCAGGATGAACGGGGCGGTGGTGATCTTTGTGGACGAAGTGGAGAAATTATTGTGGTGAATGAAACCTTCGTACCAGTGCTGCCTCTGGCCTCACCGGCCAGAAAGGTGGTTTTGTCTAACGTCCCCCCGTTCATCAGAGATGAAGTGCTGGAGAGAGAACTCTCCAGGCAGGGAAAATAGTGTCCCCTATTAAAAAAGGCCTGTCTGGGTGTAAGTCTCCTTTGCTCCAGCATGTGGTGTCTCACAGGAGACAGTTATTCATGATCCTGAATAACAGCAATGAAGAGTTGAACTTGTCTTTTCAGCTGAAAATTGATGGGTTTGATTATGTTCTGTTTGCCACGTCAGACGTTATGAAGTGTTTCGGCTGTGGAAAGGAGGGTCATGTGATCCGAGTGTGTCCAGAAAAACCTGCCGGTACTGAATCTGGTCAGACTGCTGGAGAGGGAACATCAGGGCAGAAGGAAGCTGGAAAAAAGGGAGGAATAAGTGACAAGGAGCAAAGAGGCAGAGCTGAAATGAAGAACAGGGAGGAGGAAACAGGTGGAGACAACAGTGGTGATGGTGAACAGATGGAGGGAGGAAATCAAACTGTTAGCTGCAGAGAAAAGGACACATCAAACTGTCAAAGCATCAGTGATGAGGGAAACAAGGCAGGTGAGTCTCAACAGAGCTGTGAGACTGTGGGTGCTGATATAGAAAATAATGAGGAGGAGGAAAATGGGGAGGATGAAGATGAGACGCAAAATAGTAAGACAGCTGGGCCAGAGGAGATTTTGGCAGGAAGTGCAGATATAGACATGGTTGGTGAGGAGAGCAGCCTGACAATCACTCGGCAGAAGAGAAAATCTGAAATCGACAGTAAAGGCTCAAAAGCAAAGAAGGTTACAGTCCGCAAAGACAAACAGAAGCAGACTGTGAAGGAGTCGATGGCGGAGTATGACTCCAGTGTGGAAGGCCGTTTAGATGTCTCACTGAACAAAATGACCCCAGGAGAGCTGAATAAACAGATTTATGGGGTTGAGAAAATCAAACTGTTTCTACAGAAAACAAAGAACGTAAAAGGGTAAAAGCTGAAAGTTTCTTTCCAGACAAAGAGGCTTTTCTTAACTCAGTCAAGTCACAGCTGAGGGCCAAAGGAAGAGAGGGTTTAACTGAGCAGGAGGTTTACAGGTTGAGGAAAATAGTGGTGAAGATCAGACATGAACTTAATGAAGAAGATGGAGAGGAATCAAACTAAAGGTTTTCTTTTTCTCAGTCTGTGTGTGCTGTCTGGTTGTCTCCTTTTTATTTCTTCAATGAGGGATTTAAAGTTGCTTCATTGAATTTAAATGGAGCTGCAGACATCAGGAAGAGGATGCAGCTATCTGAGCTGATGAAGCTGAAAAGTGTTGTTTGTCCAGGAAACACACAGCGACAGGTCCAGTGAAACTGACTGGAGATCAGAATGGGACGGGGAGGTCGTGTTAAGCTCCTTGACCTCCGTGAGCGGGGGGGTAGCCGTCCTCTTTTCTAAAAAGTTTCTGCCGACTTCTTCTGAACTTAAGGAAGGCTGATGATGGTCAGAGCCAAGTTTGAGTGTTTCACTCTCACATTCATTAATGTTTATGCTCCAAATGTCGGCTCAGAGTCCGTTTTATTAATCCTCTCAGTGACACTCTGACTAGCTGTGGTTCAGATGAGTTTTTATTTTTAGGGGGAGATTTTAATTGGACAGGAATCATGTTGAACCTCATGCTGCTTCGAAAAAGGCAATTAATGAAGTAATAAAAACACATGATTTGGTGGACGTTTGGAGGAGGTTGCACACTGAAGACCGACAGTACACTTTGGGCGCATACAAGAGAAAATGTTATTTCTTTGGCTCGACTGGACGGGTTTTATTGTTCTAAACATCATTTTAGTGTTTTTAAGGCATGTAGTATTTTACCTGTACATTTTAGTGATCATTTTTTAGTGGTCTGCAGTGCTTTTATTGCAAAAACTGAAAAACGGAGTGCATACTGGCATTTTAACACCAATTTACTCAGTGATGCTAATTTCAAAGATGTTGTGGTTTATTTCTGGAAGGTGCATAGGGCTGAAAGGAACAGTTTTGTTTCTTTAAGACAATGGTGGGAAGGTTAAAATCAAACAGCTCTGTCTGCAGTACACTCTGAATGTCATGAGGGACATTACTAGATCAATGACGACTCTAGAGACTGAGATAGTGGAACTTTTAGGCTTGATTGAGTCCACAGGAAATCGAGAGCATTTTGAAGCCCTCAAATCTAAAAAAAGCTTTGTTAGCAGACCTGCTGGGCACCAAAGCCCAGGGAGCACTGGTTCGTTCACGTTTCCAGAACATGAACCAGATGGACGCTCCGTCCAAGTTTTTCTTTGGCTTAGAAAAGACAAATGGGCAGAGCAGGTACATCCACACATTACAGTCAGCTGATGGGGAAGAACTCACGGAGCCTCATGAGATCTGGAGAAAGGTGGTGCAGTTTTACTCTGAGCTGTATAAAGCGCAGCATGTGGAGCATGAACAGCTGTTTGAGTGTTTCAGTGAAGGCCTGCCCAGAGTCTCCAGAGATGACCATCCTGAGCTGGAGGAGCCTCTGGTTTTAGAAGAGCTGCATGCAGCCCTGCAGGGGATGGATGGAGGGAAGGCCCCAGGTATTGACGGTCTGCCTGTCGAGTTCTACAAGACCTTCTGGAAAGAGCTTGGTCAGGACTTGTTAGATGTTTTCAATGAAAGTTTTGAAAATCAGACCCTGCCTCTGAGCTGCAGGAGAGCTGTAATAACTCTGCTGCCGAAGAAAGGAGACCTTCAGGACGTCAGAAACTGGCGCCCAGTCTCCCTCCTCTGTTCGGACTATAAGATCTTGTCCAAGGCTCTGGCTAATCCGGTCCTGTATTCATGGTTTGGTTTTACCAGGTTTTAACACACCACACGTTTTATCTGCTTATGCTGATGATGTCATGCTCCTGGTCAGAAATCGAGCTGAAATTAATATTGTTGGAAATATTGTGTCTGAGTTTGGTCTTATCTCTGCTGCAAAAGTGAATTGGACAAAAAGTGAAGCTCTAGCAGTTGGAAACTGGGTTGGTGGTCTTCCGGTCCTGCCGGGGGGGTTGGGATGGAGAAATGATGGTATAAAGTATCTAGGTGTTTATCTTGGCAAAGAAGAAATGGTGAAAAGAAACTGGGAGGGCATGATAGAGACGATGAAAGGAAGGTTAAAAAAGTGGAAATGGCTGCTTGCTCAGATGTCTTTTAGAGGAAGAAGTCTAGTAATCAACAACCTTGTAGCTTCAGCACTGTGGCATCGTTTAGCTTGTATGGAGCCACCTGCTGGCTTACTCTCAAAACTACAAGCAGTTTTAGTGGACTTTTTTGGGACAGGTTACACTGGGTACCTCAGAGGGTGCTTTTTTTACCAAAAGAAGAAGGGGGGCGAGGCCTGGTACACCTAGCAAGCAGAGTGGCAACTTTTCCATTTCAGTTTGCACAGAGATATCTGACTGGTTTTAAATACCCAGTGTGGAAAGAGTTTGCAAGCAGCATTTTAAGGAGAGCAGACAGGTTAGGACTTGACACTGCTTTGTTTTTAATGGATGTTGGTTATTTAAATTTGTCTGTATTGCCTGATTTTTATAAGGGAGTTTTTAAGGCCTGGCACCTTTTTAAGAAGAGACGGTTGGAGCCGTCAGTCTCCCTGTACTGGTTACTGAACGAGCCTCTGATCGGTGGATCCACAATGGACATACAGGACAGTGGTACACCAGGCCTCCATCACACGCTCCGATCTGTGATGTTTTATTAAAGTGGGTTTAAAAAGTCAAAAAAAGTCTCCTCCACTCCCCCCCTCTTTCTCTCTCTCTCCCCCCCTCTCTCTCTCTCTGTCTCTTCCACCCCTCCCCTCCCCCCCCCCCCCCCCTCCCCTCTCTCTCTGGTGCATGCTGGGAATTGGGTAGGGAATGCATGGGAGGGTGATCTAGGTGAGAGGAAATTTTGTAATTTTTTCACTGTTTCGTGCTTCTTCTTGTAATCGATTATTTTTGAAAAAGAAAAAAAAACTTTAAAACAAACTGAGTTTGTTTTCTGCGTCTCACACTCAAGCGAGTGTGCAGACGTCAGGCCTGTCGCTCCGGCATGGGATCAGGTGTGTGACCCAGGCAGGTGTGCCGGTAGAAGATGTGTTACTGGACGTGGCAGAGCGCCTGGGCTATGAGAACATCATGTTGGCGTCTCGGATGAACAAGGCCGTAGTGATATTTTTAAAGGAAGAAAATCTGGTTGATGGTTTGATTGAGAGCGGGATATCGGTAAGTGGCACATTTGTTTCTGTTCAACCTTTAGTTTCAATCACGACGAAGGTGACGGTTTCTAACGTGTTCCGACTTTTATTCCTGATGCAGACATTGAGCGAGAGCTTTCTCGATTTGGAAAACTTGCCAGTGGAATTAGAAGGTTTCACTTGGTTGTAAAAATGCCGCTTTAAAGCATGTGTTGTCGTTTAGGCGACAGGTGTACATGTTTTTAAATGAACCGACGCTGAATATCTCCTTTCGCTGTGTATTTGAGGGCAAGTCGTACATGATGTACGCGAGCACGGGAGAGATGCGGTGCTTTGATTGCGGGAGTATTGGACATGTTAGGCTGTCTTGTCCTCATAGAGTTGAATCTGAGAATGAAGCAGGCCCTAGCAATACTTCAGATAAGAGGAAGGAAAATGAAGTGCTAAAGAGTAATGTACCAAATGAAGTAGCAGTGGTGAATAATGAAGGTCAGAATGTGGATTCAAATCTGAAGGCAGGAACGAATTTAGAAGATCCATCCCCTAATATTGAAAAAGATACAGAGGAAGCTTCTGGTAGTAAGACAAAACAGGAAAGATTGAAGAGAGTTAATGTAGTAACTGATGTGGCTGTTGAGAGAAGCACTGTGGTACAGGGGTCTGTGCAGGGTGATACTGTGGAGAGGTCAGAGAATATAAGCCAGACGAATGATGACGCAAACGGTTTGAAAGGTAAAGTTTTGGAAAGAGGAAAGATAGTATCTTTGATTAAGAAGGTGCAATCAGACATGTTTGATGAGGAAATGGAAGATGATGATGATGATGATGGTGGTGGGTTGTCTGATTTCTCAGATGTGTCAGATGTTTCGCAAGTGAGCTGTGAGCAGGTTTATTCACTAGATGAAATCAATAAATTCCTGGATGAAACCTTTGGAAAATCTGTAGATGTACGGAATTATTTTTCTGATCTGAAGAGGTTTGAGACTTCTGTTCGTTATTGGCAGAGGAAGGTTGGAAAAGATGAACTCAGTCAGAGAAAGAGATTTCATTTAAAGAAGTTTCTTGCAAAACTGCGAAGGGATAAAACCCCTATAAAACGTAAACTCAAATAATTGAATTAATGGATTACATATCACTCAGGATGATTTTACTACACTCTTTGTTTCTTTCTGTCACTCTTTTCTATCTCTTTATATTTTCTATGGAGATGATAAGGGTCGCTTCTTTAAATATTAACGGAGGGAGAGACGGGAGCAAGAGAGCAATGGTGGCAGAATTAATTAATTAATATTAAGAATGTAAATGTTTCTTTTTTGCAAGAAACACATACAGACTGTAGTAATGAAGTAGAGTGGTCTAGATGGTGGGAGGGGGAGAGCGTCTTCAGTCACGGCTCAAATTTGAGTGCTGGAGTAGCTATTCTTTTTTCAAAAAATTTGAATTTGAAAATTTTGTCAACTGAAGAAATGGAAAAGGGTAGAGTTTTAATGGTTGCTGGAGAAATAAATGACTTAAAAGTTATTTTCATAAATGTTTATGCTCCAAACAATGGCTCAGATCGTGTGGAAGTGTTTAGGAAGTTGCAGAGTGCATTAAGAAAATGTGATAATGATTCTTGCACCACGAATTTTCTTTTGGACAGCAACAGAGAGGAGTCTCATTCACCGTCTAGTAATGCTCTTCAGAATATTATTAAAGAGTTTGAGTTGGTGGATGTGTGGAGGAATATGAATAAGAGAATTACACAGTATACATGGGTTAAAATACTAGACTCTAATGTAACTGGAGCAAGATTAGATAGCATATATATAAGTAAAACAAGTGTGAATAGAGTATCTAACATTTTCCCTAACGGTTTTTCAGATCATCATATTGCAACCATAGATTTTAACATTACTACTTTAGCACGCCCAAGGTTTCACTGGCATTTCAATGCTAAATTGTTGCAGGATAGGTCTTTTAGTGAAAAGTTTGGTGATTTTTGGAAATTGTGGAAGTTGAATAAAGGTAGTTTTGAAAATGTAACACAATGGTGGGAGGTGGGGAAAACACAGATAAAGGTTTTTTGTCAATCTTTCCTACAATACTACTGTGTGTGTTAAAAAGAAAATTGAGCAGTTGGAGAAAGAAATTATTGGTATGGAAAATGTGATGGATCATGTAAATGTTTTGGGTGTATCCAATGATTTAAGGAGGAAAGAGCAAAGGGCGTTTTAATTCGAGCAAGAATTTCTTCTATCAAGGACATTGAGTCTCCCACTTTAGCGCATACTTTACCTGCGCAAGGAAAATGGAACTTTAACATCAAATCCGACAGAGATGAGGAAAATGGCAATGGATTTTTATGCTGATTTGTATGGACATATTGACTGTGACTCTGAGAACATGGCACAATTATTACAAGGACTTCCAAAGTTGCAACCTGGGGATAAGAAAGAGCTCGACACGATGATCAGCCTTAATGAACTTTCAGATGCAGTTCACCAACTCTCCACAGGGCGTGCGCCAGGAATAGATGGTTTGCCTGCTGAGTTT